ACGCCACTTGAGGTACCTGTCAGTGCTCGCTCTGTCCAAGCACAGAGGATCGTGGTGTCTGTTCAACAAGGGCAGTCTCTGTTGCAAGTGCACAGTCTGGTGTGCCAACAATGTAACATTTTTGGTGTTTCTCATAGTAAGCGGCACCTCATCATCTCAGCAAAGCCCATCGGAAGGGAGCTCACGCGACTGATCCTGTCTGCAAAGGGAAGAGCAGAACTACACAACAAAACAAAAGAGCTTGGGGTTTTCACTTAGAAGTGCAGTTCCTGTTTCTAATCTGCTGCAACAGCTGATCAGGCAATGAAAGGTGGTGTTTTCATGGAGCGAATGTTGTCAGCCAGAGCCTCGCTGCCGTTGGTGCCCGAGTGCGTGTGTGTACCCCACGCAAGCGTTGTGCGTGGCTCCTCCTGGCGTCTCACGATTTTAACGTGTATAGTTCTAGCTAGAAAGTGGGTGGAAATAGAAACAAACATCAGTGGGATAGTGAATCCAGCCAAAATGAAATACAGTGCAGACACAGACTGCAATTACCTGACGTTCATTGTTCAGTTTGGGCTCACTCACCTCGCTTTTCTGTGGGCACGCGGCTGTCGCGGTCTGATGAAGTCAGGTTTCTCCTGCGGGAGTGTCTGGAGATGTGGGGAGCGGATACATGTAGAACAGTTTGGTGATCCCTTCCCCCCAATAATTCTTGGCTTTGGATTTTAGAAAGACCACAAACCCTTAGCTTATTACAAGTAATCCTGATCACTCCCGTAATGACACACTACATTATATACTCTCCTAAACTTAATCATTCAATATCTCACTTCCTTCCCTATAGGCATGTACTATTATATTTTACACATGGCTTCCAGCTGGTTTTCATTGCGGCCTTCAAATCACATTTCAGTACAGTGCGATTTAAGACCAGTCACTTTATCTTTTGAAGTCAACTTCCATCATATTGGTTTTCTTGCAAGTTTTCTACCAGGGCTGGTTAATTTGTTTGAAAAAATGAGTTTGTCTGTGAGGTTACAGTCTACCTGAATGAACCTTCATAAAGCAGTATCTTCCAAAGCTGCTCTATTCTGAAATGCTGAGAAGGCAGCCATGCCTGTAGGGTTTAAAAATGCAATCTCTTGAAGGGATGGAAAAAATGAGTCCTGTGGGCATGGAAGGAAATCTATATCTTCACATTTGATTTGAAAGTAGATGGGGAGTCAGTGAGGAGGGAGGGAGGGGAAGGGAAGTCAGCTCCAGATGGTGGTGGCTGTGGAGGAGGAGGAGGCTGCCCCACCTGTGGCCAGGGAACAGTGGGGAAGGGCACAAGGGAAGGAGAAGGGAGTGGGGAAGGCAAGCATGGTGCACCTACGCCGGGATGTGCACCCTTCTGAGCCCAGCGCCAGCTTTCTTGGGAAAAGGAAAGCATGGCCATTTGTCCCTTCTCCTTGAAGCCCGCCATACACGTGGTGTTTCTTGGTAGGTCAGACCACCATTTGGGGGGTTTACCTGCACTGGAGAATGCGCTGCAGCCTGTACTTCAATCACGGAAGATCAGTGGGGTTTCCTTCTTTGCAGTGCAGAAGCAGAGCAGCAAAATCCGAAATGTTACGGCAGGGTGTGCACAGCAGTGCGTGAAGCTAGTGGGCATTTTACTTGCAGACTTAAGAGCGTAATAATGACCAAAAATCTGAAAATCTGGAACTGCCATAAATGGTTAGTTTCCTCTGTGAGGCTGTGGCATGCAGAGCTGGACGTGAAGTAGACAAATCGCGCAAATCGACCAGCGTGTTTTACTAGTGTAGTTCAAAGCAAATATTTTTTAAAAAGGTAATTTAGATTTTATATTGTATCATCAGCCTCAGCAGTTGCTCTGTTTCCCATAGAAAAGCATGCTCTTTTGTATTAAATAGCCCATATTATTGGAAGGAAATACAAAACTGATCACAGCCTAAACCTGAAGGAAATTCTGTGCATTTATGCATCTCTTTGTAAATGGGTAATGTTGTGTCGCTGAAAAATGTTGTGTTGCTGAAATCCTTTGTTAATGCTACTGGAAATCCAGGGCAAGCTCCCAGAAGTTAGAGAAAAGATGAGTTTCATCTGCTATAAGAGTATCTTTAGGTTTTTGTATTACTTAGGAAAATGGTAAGTGAAATAAAATACAACCTTTTCCTAATATTTTACACTGATAACCCCTGGGTTATGTGTTTTGTCTTCTGAAGAGGCTGGAAAGGTCACTCCAGAAAAGGAAGGGTTAAATAAAATTATTCTTTCACTCCCGCTCTCAGCCCTCTCTTTGGTTGATTGCTTTATAGATGCTGTAGGCATCTCTTCTCCTCCTTCAAATTAAACATTTTACTGCTGCTGATCCTGTATTGTTGGATTTTTTTCATCATTATATTTGATTGGAAGTCTTGTAACATTTTTCAGGATGGATCGTTTCTCATGCTATTTGTCAACTGAAAAGGGAAAAAAAGCCCACTTCCAACTCCAACAAGAATGAACTCAGTAATTCGCACTTTTTCTGGATGTGTTTCTATGTCTCTTAGCTGCTACTTGTATTCAGCTTCTGATTAGCAATGCTACTTGAGGCTTTTCATGTGATGCTGTCTGTAAATGCCCTGGGGTTTATTTGTGGTGTTAAATCATGGGTTTTTTTGGCTGCTCTGGGCCTTACAGTGTCAGGGGATAGGACCAGAGGGCACAACAGGGGAGGTAATGTAGGTAGGGGCTGCGTGACAATTTATGGGGCTAGGTCCTTGGCTAGTGTCAGCAATCCCGGCTCTGCTGCTTTCAGTGCTCCCTGTCGATGTAGGTATGATCCAGCCCTTGTCTGTAGCCCCTCTATTTGGAAACATCAGTCCTTCTCTTCAAAAACAATCCATGGACAAAAAAGAAATCCTCAAAGAGGGGCTGAGTGATTCTGTTCATTGGAACATTATGCTCTTTTATTACAAGAGTTGTAATAAAACATAAACCAGAATATCCGTCATTTCCATTTGTGTTTCTCCTTTACCCCAGCTCCTTGGTTAGCTCCGTGTCACTGACACTCGGAGTATTGACATGCTTGAGAGGAAAATTAATCCATTGGCACTGAGAAACATTTGCAGTGCTTCTGCCCACCAGTGGCTCTTGCCATGAGCGTGGCAAGCCCTGCCTGTCACCGGTGGTGACACCTGCTTTTAGCTGAAGCGTGGCGCTGCCACAAAGTCTCCTCCTTGTTCAGACGCTTTCTGTCACTGTCACGAGTGTCGCTCCGCAGCAGCGGTGGCAGCGGTGCCATGTGCTGGGGTTGGCAGGATGGGCAGCTGTGTGTCTGCATGTGCACGCCCTTGCACACGCACCCGCTGCCCATCGAGGCACTGCGGACGTGGCGCCAGGTCCTGCCTCTGTCACCCGGCTGGGCAGCAGCCGGAGGCGTAGGCCCTTTCCCCTGGCGGGCGCGTGGCAGAAGAAAGGCAGTCCCGTGGCCAGGCTGCAGGTTGGGTCATTTTCACAGCAGCTCCTCCAGGTCTGGCTCCTTGGCCACACGTGTGCCATGGGCAGTGGCTGGGGACTTTGATGTGCTTTTCAAAACCTGTGACTGGAGATCACTGATTTACAAGTTACTATGACAGCAACGTTTGATGTAGAAAATGAATAAAGGGCTCTTCGGCACAGAGCCTTTTGATTTATTTGCATAACAGGTTGATGCTCCATAGTGGACTTCCCTCTTGAAGTAATAACTTGACTAGTGTAGCATTTTGCTGAGGGCTTGGTATGTGTGTACAATTCAGTGCAAGTTCTCAGCACATTTCCATTATTTATCCTTATTTTTTTTCCCTTAAAGAGCTTTAATGTAGGGTTGTTTTTCTGAATGTTACAGGTTGCAGCAGAGACATTTTCTTCTTGGCTGAAGAGCCAGGATTCCCTCTTATTTGTGGAAGGAAATATTTATCCATATTGATTTTGTTAGCTCTGTAGCGTTGACTTCTAATAATTATTTCCCCGCATCTGAAGAAACCTCTGGGCAAATACAGCCCTCAATCCTGTAGGGAATTTTTCCTGGTAATCTCTCTTGTATAGATTTGGTTTTAAAGAAAGCATATGGAGCTCCTTTGTATTTCTAACAATTCAGAGCAGGTATTTTTTTTCCCCGGAATAAGGGCTGCACAAGGCCCTTTCTTAGTCATTTTAAGTGGCTGTTAGGAAGATTAAGAGCTACATATGCTTTCTTTAAACTTGCCGAAAAGGAGATACTGCTGGTGAAAATCTGTTACAAGACTGAAAAGCGTGTTTGCCCAGAGGGTTGCTCAGAACGGAGGGCTATAATTATTTGAACTCAGCACTCCTCAACTAGTGAAATTAATACAGATGTAATACAGAGAAATCTGTTCAAGAGACACATTAAAGCCAGCTCTGTGAAGCAGCTGAACTGACTACGATGTCACTTTTCACAGAAGGGAGATCTTAACAAATCTGTGCACTTTTATTACTAATTTTTTTCTTCCATAAAGCAGCTGTGATGGATTTTAATGCCAAATCATTATTCACGATAAAGTAGCACTTGACAATCCCATGTGTGACTGACCCTTTGTGGGACTTGTAGAAACTGTGAGAGTCTCTAGCATAAAAAGATGAGAGAAAACAAGGAGAAGAGGAACAAAGCGGGAGAGTGACTTGTCTGACACGGGACAACTGGCCAGTTATGACCATGAGACTGGAATACCTTTTGACTTTATTTTGTCTATTTTATATTTCTCTTTATTACTTGCATTTTGTATTTCTTACTTATTTTGTGGGTTTGTATTTATTTTATATTGTTCACCTTTTATATCACTTGCTCCTTTTGGTCTGTAGTTACTGGTGCAGCTGTCTTACAGGTGAGAAAGGTAGTTGAAAATGAATATTAATTAGTACTTTTCTTCACCAAAACAAAGTAGACCCTGTGTAAAGACCTGTACAAGTGCCCTTATCTCAGGCACCGAGGGGGTCAGCATGTACCTGAAGTCTGTGTCTGTTTGATCTTGCAGGTGCTGCACAGACAGCAGTCCCAGCCTGCAAAGGAGAATTCCCCTCCTAGAGAAGAGGCCCCTCCTCCACCTGCTGAGGACAGTTGTGCCAAAAAGCCAAGATCCCGTACCAAGATCTCCTTGGAAGCTCTGGGTATCCTTCAAAGCTTTATCCACGACGTGGGTCTCTACCCTGATCAGGAAGCCATCCACACCCTCTCTGCGCAGCTGGATCTCCCCAAACACACCATCATCAAATTCTTCCAGAACCAACGTTACCACGTAAAGCACCACGGGAAGCTAAAAGAGCATTTGGGAACGGTGGTTGACGTGGCAGAGTACAAGGATGAGGAGCTGCTGACGGAGTCGGAGGAGAACGACAGCGAGGAGGGCTCCGAGGAAATGTACAAAGTGGAGCCTGAGGAGGAGAACCCCGACAAAAGCAAGGCGGCTGCAGCGGACATCGACCAGAGATAATGTGAGATAGGAGCGCAGAAAGCAATACATTGATCCAAGGATTTTCTGGGTTTATTTTTAATTTTTTTCTCTTTTTACTTTTTGTTTGTTTGTTCCCATTGCGCATGATCCATGTGCAAACCGAATGAATTCAGCATCGCCCGATCAGACATCGCCTTGACACAGACACTAGAGTGTTACAGTTCCTACATTTGACTGAAGTAATCATTGTAATCACATAGGATTCTGCCTTCATTAATCTTGCACTTATGACAGGGACATCTAGCAAGTAAATGGGAAGAAAAAGTCCTATGAAATCAATGAAGGAAAATTTACAACTTTGTGTGTATATATATATATTTACACAAAATATATATATATTAAAATTGCATGGGACGGAACTTTACAACCTGAAAGTATAGACTGTGAAATGAGTTCTTTAAAGATGAGACTTGTTTATGTATTAAAACCACTTCACAATGAGTTGCTTTGGCTTTTTGATAAACTGCCGCCTGCTCTCAGGGTGTGGTGACTATTTTTGAATTCCTATTTATTTTCTATGTTTATCCCTGATTTTTTTTTTTTTTCATTATTATATGGCTTCCTATCTGGCAACTTGATGGGTAATTTTTGAGGTATGTATTTAAAGACGTAAATCAACACTGCCAAAAAAAGAAAAGAGGAAAAAAAAAAAAGAGAGAAAATGGAAAAACAAATCAGGGCACCTTAAAAAGAAAAAGCTAGTAAGTTAAAGTACTTTAAACACAATGCACACTTAAAAGGATACAGCATGTTCCACTCTTCAGACAGTCCTTTCCGTAGTGAACAGATGAATTTTCACAGGATTCAGAATGACTAAAACTGAAATTCAGTGCATAGAAGACTTGTCCGTTAATGAGGTCTTTATAGAAAGAGAAGAAAGATAATGTGTTGAGACTTGATGTATGGAATTCATACTATGAACCACATTTTACTGTGGATTTTATTTACCTGTTCTCTGTTTCAGATCTTAAAATTTATAAGGTTCTTTCTTGCTGTTGCTTTTTGTTTGTACTGAGGTGAAACACACAAGTGTAAAGTTACATTGGGATGCAGAACGCCACGATCCCAACAGTCCTGTCCAGGTAAATTGCTGACAGACCGAGGGTTTGCATTGCCAAGTTCCCGTTCGCCCTTCTCGCCAGCCTCCCCCCATGTTTTGGTTTTAGCTGGGCTTCCTCTGTGTCACGCGCTTTGTGCAAGTGCAATGACATGTTTCGGCCGCGGGCCCCCAGGCCGCAGCCCACCTCCCGCGCGCGGCGTCCGAGGCGCGGGCGCTTCCAGCCTCCCTGCTGCGGGGGGCCGCAGGCGCGTGGGGCCCTTCACACCCACCCCCCTCCTTCTCAAAGGCTTTCGCTGCGACCTAGCTAGCAGCTGCGTTACATCAAGCAGAGCCGATCCTGACTGACTCTCCAATGGCACGAGCACTAAAGCTGCAATCTACTATAGCGTCCACCCGTTCTGAGGCGTCGTGTCGAAAGGGACACCAAGTAGCATTTACTTTTCACTTCCATGCAATGATTTCCGAGACGAGACCTCACCTTTGCTACTCTTGCAGCTGGATTGATTTCAGGCGCCTGTTCAAACGCGATCATAACTGTACCAACAAGGCTTCTGGGTTTTTTTCTTCCTTTTTTCACATGGGCTTGTCCTGTAACCTTGACAAAGACCTCATGCAATATCACTTTGCAAGTTACTTTCTGTTTACTACACCAGGCAATGTAATATAACTGTTAATACTATTTATATATTTGAAAGGTATAAAAGGTAGGAGTTAAAAATGGAAAACAAACCTCTACGTGTAGATAGTTACTCTGAACAGACAATATACAGGGAGAAGACGTTGCAATACAAGCTAATTCTAGCTGCTCAGTAACCTCTGGAGTTTTTAAGGGAATTTTTCAGAACTAATGTTTGAAACATAAAGAGTATCTCTGCATAAATTTCATATACCTTTGCAAAATGATGGTGGGTTGCTTACTTAATGCTCCTTTTGCTCTTCATCCTTTATTTCTGTAGTATGCTGCAGCTTTAATCAGAATTTCAGTGGTTGCTGCTTTATGTTTCTCTCAGAGCTACTCCTTCAAAACTGTCTTCTTATCCTGTAGCTGAAATCACTCCATACATTTGAAAGGAAACTGAATTTTGCCAGGCTACGCAAGGTTGTTCATCTGATGATGGCATCAACATTTGGTATCTTTTACACTTCAACCAAAAATTTTATTAGGTATTTTTTCAATGCTGAGTCTTGCCTTTTTATTTTTAATTTCACTGCCAATTTTGCAGTGGTTCTAAGTGAATCTGTGGGCATTTTAGCCTGTGGTCTTGCCAGAACTTTGCGAATTACAATGCATATATGTCTATTTATTCAATATCCATCATATAATATCTATTTGGAGAAAGAAACTTTTCTTGTAGTGCCTCTTAACAAAGCACAATTTTCCGCCTTTTTTGTGAAATAAAAAATGAAAAAAACAAATTGTGTTTTATTGCGGTATCAACAATGTGAATAAGGATTAACATATTGTAAATGTTCTTTTTTTCCATGTAAATCAACTTTATCTTTGTTATCACTAAGTGATAATTAATTTTTAACTTATGTGCATTGTTAGGCTGTTAGAATTTTTTGGTTGTTGAAATAAAACGCATTCAATAAATATGACTTAATTTGTCAAGTAATTTACTGGGCCTTTTTTCTTTTCTGCTGAGCTCAAGTGGAACAAGGTCTGCAAAATGGAGGGGGCGTATTTGCATATTGAAAAAATTGATCAGTGTCACTGGGGTTTGAAAACCTGCCTAAGCCCCCTGGGGTCAGCACAGCTGACAAACCCGTATCACCCGGGACTGACCTGTTGTGTTACTCACTTTTTATGGGCATATATATGTGCACACACAGAGAGTCTCCGATGGGATCAGGAGGAGGGTGAGGGTGCCATCAGCCCATCGGAGAACATACTCAAAACACGCACATAAAGATCCACTTCCAGTCTGCCGTCTTCTTTTGCTGGTAGATTTTTTCTGTTTGTAATTAAAAAGCCACAAATGACTGCGTGTCAGGAAACTTTTGGAGCACACATGTCCATGGTTAATGGACATAATAAAAGGCTTTATTATATTTATAGCAGGGCATCCTACTGAGTGTCTAGAGTTGCCGGAAGGATTGATGTATCTGAGAAATGTGTGAAATGATTTTGGGGAGAATACAGATAAATGGAAAAAATTGCTCAAAATTCTTAAGCTAACAAAGTGGTGAGTGCATGGATTCAATCCTAGCAGACAGATCGTATGCTGCATGGCAGACTTGAGTTGTTTAGGAATTGAGGTAGAAAAATTTTTAAAAGCTTTTTTTTTTTTTTTAGTTCCAATGCAATAGTTCTTCTTTTCATAGCTTATTCACATCCTATATAAAATATCTATGTGCTCCCTTGAGAAAAAAAAATACGGGCTGTGTGTGGAAATAACCACATTTTTGCATATCCAGCCACCTGCTTGTCACTTGAGTTTCCTGTTTGGATCAGGAAAGGGCTGTAACTGGGAGCACCTGGAGCCCGGCGCCGGTGAGCTGCTTCTGCTCTGAACTGCGGGCGCAGTCCTGATGCGCAAGGCAGGCAGGCCAGGCTGGGGTTCCGCTGGTCCAGGAAGGGCGTGGGAGGTGACAGAGGGCATGAACTGGCCTTTGAAACTGCACCCATGGCCCGGGCAGATCCTGTGGAGATGCTGATGGTGGTAAATTTGGTGTCCTCCTGTGCCCGCCAGTGAGACAAGAAACAACAGGAGAAGCAGCAGCTCCCACTTCACTGACAATTTTATACACGTACTCTGTGTGTGTGTTGCTAAAGAATATTTAGAGAAAGACACACTCACACACACACATATTAATTGGGGGGGAAAATCCTATAAACATATGGGTTCTTCTTCCAAACGGTAAAAAAAAAAATAAATCATTTAATAGCTGCTATAGCAGAAATATTTCTATTAATGCTTCTACTTCTCTATACTTCACATGCTGCTGCTCCTATTTGTTGTTCGTTTTAGTCATCCAGACATATGTATTTCCAATTTCAAACCTGTGTGAGTGAAAAATAAACATTTTAAGATTAGTTTAAAATGGTTTTAAGCTTATGAACATACTGCCTATTGCATGAAGTTCACTGTTGCTTAGATAAAAGTATCCACTCAATCTCTTCCCACTTACTTAGTAACCAATTATTTGTTCTAGACTAAATGGATTAAAATCCTTCATTGATGAAGTTTTGTTTCTATCCTGAACCCTTTAAACATGGAGGGATAAAAGCTAGATACATTTGACAGTGAGCAAATGGCATCTTAAAATCATAAACGAGTCATTACAAAAAATCTCCACTTACAATATGACGTGCAGTGATTAATTAAAGATGCAGTTTTAACTTATTTATAGCCATTAAAAAAACATACCAGTTTTAACACAAAATAACACGAGCCAAGTCATCCAGGGGAGAGATGCTGGCAGCCTGAGACTTGGGGAGCATTCAGTGTGACAAAGCCAACAGGGAACAGCAAATGCAGACCACCCTTGAAACCTTTGGAAAAGATCATGGAAGCGAGGATGGAAAGAGATGACGCCAGTGCCCCTGCCAAGATCCCGCTCTTTTTGCTCCCATACAGACAGTTGAGGAGTGCGAAAGCCCCATCTCACTGCGATGGCAGGAAACCTGTGTGCTCACTCCCTGGCTGTGGTGCGGACAGCGGGGAGCGTGCCAACCAGAGCGCGTGCTGCCTGTAGTCAGCCCTACCTCAGGCAAAAAGACGATACGGGTGAGGGTGAGGGAGAGGCAGGCGCAGTTCAAGTGCAGATCTCTGCAAGCTTTCCCCTCCTTCCAAACCTTTTGGTTGCTGATGGCCAAATGCTGGTCTTGCTCGACTGGCAGGTGTGCTTCGCTGGGGCCAGGGGGAATAAAGGCGGTGGGAGGCAAGGTGAGGCTCACATGCTGAGCTGGTGAGCTGTGGCTGCTGCTCCCCTGGCTGGCTTGGCTGTGTGAAAGGCTGCCCTGCTGCTGAGCAGCTCACCTCTGCCGGGGCCCTACGCACACCAGGCACACCGCACTCCAGCCCTGCCACCGCCAGCTCTGTCTGCAAGGCAGCGCATGCTCAAGGCAAGAGTCCTCCCCTCTGTCCTGTGTTAGTGTTTCAGGAGCTACAGCCAGTTCCTCCTAAGAGGAGTGGTGAAATTTACCCTTCAGAAGGGATCTGGTCTTGATTTGAAGACCTCAGGAGCTGGAAAATCTACTGTTGCACTCAGTAGTTTGTTTGAATGGTGGTTTCTCTCCCTGCTAAATGTGTTCCATATTCTCAGGGGAATTTGTCTGGCTTTCCCTTCCTGGTTCTGTTATTTTTGTCAGGCTTTTCTCTTCAGGGTGAAAGTCCTAGGTACTGAACGACTTTTTTTCCCTCTGAAGTAGCTATTCTGATCAGATGAATTTTCTTGAATTGAGACCTCGGTGTTCAACTGAGGCTGATTGTGGCTATTTCAAGGACAAATTTGCTTTGGCTAGTCACAGAGTTCCCCCTTGTACTCTTTTTGAGAGTGCATCAAGGTAATGACAGAAAGAGAAGCTTTTTAATAAAAAGGCTATTTACTGCTTGTGAACCTCACATG